TGTTATACCAACATGGAGGTGGGAACTAGAAAAAGCAGCAACTTTTATTGCAAATCAATTAAAAAAACTTTGGTTCAGCAAAAAACTTTGATGATAAATCATATGACAATATGCTTGATGAATTGACTAAAATTAAGTGTACAGCTGCTTTAAAGTGCTTTACAAAACATTGGAGCAAAGAAGATAGTGTAATTCATATTTCAAGAACAAACATAATTGCTGAACGAGGCATTAAATTGATGAAAAATCTACTTTAAAATTCAAAAAAATGGAAATATGCAAATGTGAAATTTGACCTGAAAGAAAAGAATGAAAGAATGACCTGTGAAGCGTTAAAACTAACTTGCTGAAAATTAATTACTTTTATTGATCCACTTCAATGATATTTAGTTTATAATTTACAATAAGTTTCATTTATTTATGTGGCTTTTCACAAATGGGTTGGAAATAAGCTTTGTGTGTTCTCATGTAATATATGAAAAATCACGTTATTATTAAGGAGGGGGAGGGGAATATTTTTGCAACTAGACTACCATAAAATCAATATTTTATCAATTACTCAATATTTCTCAGGTTATAGAAGTATGGCCACAACAGATTCAAAAAATGTCATAACCCTATTATATACACAGGCGTTTGTGTTGGAAGGTCAACACTTGTAATTAGTGTTGCACCTGCTGTCATACACTTTAATGATAACGAAACTGGTTCGAGATATGTTCTGCACAATTTAGGAATTGATCAAGGACATTTTACAAAGATGGTTTCAAAGTTTCAGCGTGTAAAGTTAACAAATAAAAAATCATCTGAAAAATTTAAAAACCAAAGAAACAAGCTATATATATATATATATATATATATATATATATATATATATATATATATATATATATATATATATATATATATATATATATATATATATATATATATATATATATATATATATATATATATATATATATATATATATATATATATATATATATATAGATATATATATATATATATATATATATATATATATATATATATATATATATGTATATATATATATATATATATATATATATATATATATATATATATATATATATATATGTATATATATATTTATATTCATATATATATGTATATATATATATATATATATATATGTATATATATATAATATATATACATATATATATACATATATATATACATATATATATATATATATATATATATATATATATATATATATATATATATATATATATATATATATATATATAAATATATAAATATACATATATATTACATATATATTATATATATATATATATATATATATATATATATATATATATATATATATATATTATATATATATATATATATATATATATATATATATTGGAAGAAAAGAAGCTAAAACAGATTTTATTTCTAAAGCCAATGATTCTATATGCCAATGATAAATATACATACATACATATATATATATATATATATATTTATATATATATATATATATATATATATATATATATATATATATATATATATGTATATATATATATATATATATATATATATATAATATATATAATATATATGTATATGTATATATATATATATATATATATATATATATATATATATATATATATATATATATATATATATATATATATATATATATATATTATATATATATATATATATATATATATATATATATATATATATATATATATATACATTAGGGTGGTGCTTAAAACAACTTTTTTGAGAAAAACCTGCTGGTACCCCCTAAATGTGTTTTATCTAATACAAAAACACTAGGTTTAAAATTTTTTTTAACAAAAAATATTTTTAGGGGTAGCTCAAGGCCCTCAAAAATTTGACGGGTCCCTAATATTTTGAAAAAAAAACTTTTTCTAAAGTATGTCAACCTGGTACTCAAAATAAGCAAAATTATATAAAAAATTTAAAAATGAAAATAATTTTTTATAAAAATAATTTTTTCAGGTATAAATGCAAAAAAACTATTGTTTTTATGCTGAAAATAAAAAAAGTCAATACTTTCAGGTTTTTTGAGAATAATTTTTTTTTAAGCATGTTTTTTATGTAAAATGATTATTATTTTTGAAGTTTTTACATAATATCGCTTCTTTTGAGTACCAGGTTGACATACTTTAGAAAAAGTTTTTTTTTTCAAAATATTAGGGACCCGTCAAATTTTTGAGGGCCTTGAGCTACCCCTAAAAATAATTTTTGTTCAAAAAAATTTTAAACCTAGTGTTTTTGTATTAGATAAAACACATTTAGGGGGTACCAGCAGGTTTTTCTCAAAAAAGTTGTTTTAAGCACCACCCTAATATATATATATATATATATACATATATATATGAATATAAATATATATATACATATATATATATATATATATATATATATATATATATATATATATATATATATATATATATATATTGGAAGAAAAGAAGCTAAAAAAGATTTTATTTCTAAAGCCAATGATTCTAAAGCAAAAACTTCGATTATTTAATTATTTTAATAATTTTTCGGATAAATTATTGCAATGATAAAATCTATGAGTGCGCAGCAGAAAACTAATTTTTATACTTTCTGTTACTGTGTCTCATAATTTGTATCATATTAACACTCCAACCGAATCTGAGAGTAATAAACTTAATTTATTTACCGAACTGAAATCATTAGCACCTGTGTCACAACCAAGCGGTACAAAATCAAATTGTAAGGTAGGTTTCCCTTTGTTACAACTGCTTTAAAGTTTTGTTAAAAATGCCTTTAATATTTTTAACAAAACTTTAAAGCAGTTGTAACAATATAATACTTTAATATTTTTTTTACAATTTAACAGATTTGTTGAAATAACACAACTTTCCATCAAAAACGATATTGCTTCTGAACTAGACTATTCGACAGTAATTGACGACTTTGCGAACACAAAAGCAAAAAAAAAATTATTTTTAACTTCTCACACGTTAAAAATAAAAATTTGTTAAATAACTTTTCCTGGGAAAATTTAAATATTAACAAAATTTGAGATTTTCTTATTCAGTTAAAAGTTGTAAACTTAAAAAAAGTACCATAAAATGGAATGAATAGGAACAGTGAGATAAATAGGGAGAGACACCAGACATTTTTTATACAACCACAAAATGACCACTGATAAACAAGTGAAACATTTGATTTTGCAAAAAACCCTGTAAAAAAAAGTAAGTATGAATAAACTTTTTTTGCGCAGACAAAATCACAGAAAGAATAGTTTTGAAAATATACAAATTGTTGCATTAGCAATTTGATAAACCTAGGAGAATTTACAGAACATACGTAAACTAATATATTATGATTGATTTCAAGTTTATAAGAAACAATATTCAATATCGGTGTGAAATGGG